TCAGAAATAGGAGAGTGCTAACATAATTATTACTTACCAAGTACCAGTTCCTGATGAATATTTTTAAGGTTCATGCTTTCGAAAGCTGAGTTGTAAGTAATGTCGATTCAGCCGTAGCACGCACCAGAAAATTCCTTTTTCGATCGGTCCATTGATGATTCATTGTCGAATTAGCTTTGAACTGATTAAATATAAATGACACCATAAAGTGTTATTTATTAGTGAATCAGAGATCAAAGTATAAATTTGAAGCTGCTAGGGCAGTGATTTCATCTGGTCCGAGTGATCGTCTAAATGCAATACCCACTTATGACGGATCTGAGAAAGTTTGCATCACCGCAAGGAGGTATTAACTCAATAACTACACACCAAATTATTTACACAACTAGGGCAGATTCTGTGGTGAATCAGCAGGCTTAAGAAAAAGGTCTGACAGCAGGAAAAAAGCAATAATACCTGTACTTATAGCGTAACAGTGCATGCACTAGATTGGTCACGAAAAAGAACAGACACTGATAACAAACACTGAGTCACTGTAGTCCCTAATTTAGTTCTAAACTGCTAATTTGAAGAACCATGAGACACACCTCAGATGTGTAATCACTCGGTTCGGGCCAGAGAAACCCTGAACTACATGAGGTCATATCGGTGAAGTTTGAGGGGTCAAAGGGCTGTAATACTAAAAGAAAGGTAAACTTCTGACTCCTGAATGAATTCAAGACCACATATTTTAGATAAAGAAACTGCATAACACTTAAATTGTGGCGAGAATGAAAATAGAATGGTCAAAGAAAAGAATGTCAGGGTTTGGACTTGTGGAACTGATTCTCAGAGTGCACATTACAATGAGCCGATAGGCTGTGGCTCCAGGTTATAAAATACGAGGAAAATGGTTGTCAAATGCTTTCTTGAAGTCGAACATGGACTGTAATTAATGATAATTAAAAGATTTCGAGTTGCTTGGGTGCTTGGGTCCTTCCTGTTATCAATTTTCGTTTGTTTACGATCCCGGCGTTGGGAGCGTTGGACGTTTTCGATGGCCGATGCCCAGTCGGCGCTGCGCAGCGCTGCGACAATCCTATTGGCTACAAATGTGACGTCATTCGTATATTAGGCGAGCGGGATTTACAAAAATGCGCAGTCTATTTACGCAAATATCTCGCTTATTAGTTGGTTTCATGAATTCCCGTTTGTACCATTGAATTCTACGCAAAATTCTGATGCAGATTCATGTGCTTAGAGCCTCCAGTTCTTACCCTGTCTAGAGGCTCATTTAAATTATTTGAAACGCTCGGTTTGTCTTAGAAATAAGCAACAATCTACTGAGCCAAATTTAAGTCTATTATATATACACTAAATTTTTGCTGTTTCTATTTTATGAGTACGGGTGTAAAGAGATCCATACACCAGCGCTTGATATCAAAAGGACGTTGTACTTGACTTTACTTAGTAAATGGTAATTATGTCCATTGAATAAGTTTAAAAAATGTTCATTTTTTCGACTCGCAAACTGAAGAATCTGAGAAAACTTTCGCACAGAATATAAAACTGGTTAGCAGTTAGTTGTACGCAGTACTCTTCAATCTCTGTCTTTCTCTCCCCGCTCCCTTTCCCTCCTTACCTACCCTCGAGTTTCTCTTTTCCCTCTGTAACCGCTTTCAATGTGAAAAGAAGGAAAAAGCTGTGCAAATACCTGAAATTTATTCCAATATTCATAAATTACATAGTGCATAGTAACCTATAATGATGGATTATTCATTAGCTTAATAATGTCATCGCAACTCTCACTTTTTCCTCCTGGAAAAAAAACCAGCTTCGAAGGATACTTCCCCCAATTTCACGCGTATGAAATATTTTTTCCGTTAATTCATGGTATTTACGGCAACCCTCGATCCATCTTTTGCCTAATAGAATGAATAGAACTGGGATTAGGGGTGATTATTTTTTCTGTCCTCGCAATGTTTCCCCTGCAGTTTGACTGAGGAGTGCGGGTGACATATTTACCCTCGGAATGAGACTGCTGCTTTTACAGCGGAGCAGAGTTTACGCGACAGCCACTTTGGTGAATTTCATTAGCTTGCCTCACGCGCTTTACTTACAGAATGCACAATAATCCGACCAACTAGGGTAAAAATGGACCGCAAAAGTGCATGAGTGCAAACTGCCTCATTCATATGATTTGTTCAAAACATTGTACAACTCTCTGACGGGGAGGGTAAAAAATCCAGAGCTTTAGCATTTTTTTTTCCTTTCTTGAATAAATAACCATGTATGAATGCCATGGGCCAACCACCAAATTTTGTTATCGTGATATTTTTTGCGAAAGGATGCAAGGAATGCAAAGGGAAGATGGGGAAAGTTATGGTTTAGTTTGGTGGATGTGTGTTTTTGGTGGGAAGGCGCGTTGAAAAAAAAAGAAACAAAAAGAAAAAAAAAAAAAAAAAAAACTTGTCGAAGATACGAATCTGGTGAGATAATAAAATTAAGCGTTTAGTCTTAAAGTTTACTGGTGTGGCACGAAAAATCGATGTGCACTAGGAGGCCATTCCCTGATCACTTTGGAAGTAAAAGGCAAATATTGAAAACTGACGCACATGTGCCCTGGAGACTCAAACGCAAGGTAAGAAAAGTAAGGGAGTCCCCTCAAGGTATAGAACTGCGGGCTATGGCCGATGGCCCTGACGGCCCTGACAGCCCCCCGAAATGCTTCGCGCCTCTGGTGTTATGAAAAAAATCATATATACCTTCTGTTATCAGGAACATTTTATCATACATTTCCTTTGCAGCGCAAGAAACATCTTATTTCAGTAATATTATTTTCATTTTAAACCAACTTACTGCATACTTTATGTAACAACTGAGGTCAATTTACTAGCACTCCTAGCTTTTTAACTCATCTTCTCGTCTGTACCTAGAAAAGTAGTGAGTCGTGTGCGTAACTTGAAATTCTTCCCCCGGAAATTAATCAATCTGAAGTTTTAAACTGACTATGGATGTACGCTTTGGGAAACAGAACCGGCGATTAAAATAAGAGGAAGGAGGTGATACATGGGTCTATGCTCTTATGATAAGTGGCTGGTGACGAATTAAACCGAAGTTTTGAAAAAATAAGTTGGCCCTAGGTGAAAGGGGCTGAAACACGAGCGGCACGAATCGCAAGGGTGGTCATTAAAACATAGTTGCTAAATTTATATAATCATTCGACATATAATCAGGATACCGTGCAAAGCAAAAATGCCGAAAATCCATCAAGATTTTCCTGCGTTTTTTGGAACTTAACTCTATATTAAATAAAAACTGTTTTACCCATGCACTTCAAATTTTCAGGTTTAGTTCTTGATATTATTTGCGAAAAAATTCTGTAAAAACATTGTCTCAAGGTACACTCTTCACACAAATCTCTCTACACACAATCTTCTATGATACGTCGTTTCCAAACAAATTAAAACGACGTTTACGGCGTTCTTGCGTTGCACGGCAGCAAAGATCTTGAATACATAACCTTTTCTACACCTAAAAGATGTCTGGACGAAGATTTTTGTTGTAGAAAAACAAATTCTTCGACTCCGTTTTTTGGGATCCACGCCATTCTTTTTCTCTACTTTGTCCTCATTTCGAAAAGCTTCCACTCGATCTATATACGTAGATTATCGTCGGAGAAAAACATATTTGTAGTAGGATCAAATTTGAGGCCGTTGCAAAGAAAATATCAGTCAGCAGTACTTGATTATGCTTACAAGTTTTTTTTTTTTATATTTCTACTCTTCAAATGTGATTACTCTCTGATGAAATTGGCTCCTATACTTTTCTCTCAATATCCTCAATCACGAATTACTTCTATACTCAGACAACCGTGGGTGTTTCCCACCAAAACGGGTGTAAAGTGGGTAGTGGGGTGTCGCAACATTAATTATCACTGAATTGGCCTTTAATGCGGAACTAACGCCGGACGTCTAACTTAACGGCGGGCAATTCCACGGCTGCCACTGGTCGGGAGCCGTGGGGACGTGCCACCACGAGCCCGACTGCGGAAACTGCCCCACGCGTAACCAATCCGATTTCTTACGCCTTGATCGACCCCACGATTTAGTGAAAAATATGTGAAAATGCGGAATAAGCCCGCGGCACGACCCGAGGTCTGATGACTTCATTAATTTCGGTTGTTTGTTTTGCCGCCCGTTCAGATTTGATTCGTTCGTCTCATGGGGTGGATATTGGCGCTCCCGAATTTTGAGCCGCGTGTCATGGGAGCAAGATAATTTGCAAAACAAGGTGCCGTCCTACTTCGTTTTAATGCAACTTTTTTTCTTTTTAAATGAACTAAGTTTTCACGATTCAAACAGCAACCGATGAGCATTTTAGTGCATTGGCGGATCCAGCGACTTGGCAACATTGTCTTTTCTCCATGTGCGAATGTATCGATTCTTGGAGGAGCCAGGTGCTCCAACAAGAATCGACTATTTAGCATAGGTTTAAATGGAGGAAATCCGGTGTTGCCAAATTGCTGAATTCGCCTCTGTTTTAGTGCTGTCATGAATCACGGAGATTCGTCTTATCGTGACGCAAAAAATACTATTTCAAAATCAGAGGGCTCTTTAAAATGAAGTCGGAAAAAGGATGGAAAACGTAGGTTTTATATCAGATAAAAGGGAAGCTACATCCATCCCGGGAATTAATGTTCCTAATTTAACCTCAGAACAACCTAAGTTGTATTAAAAAATGTCGTAGACATCGTGAAATCATTCGATTTTAGGTATTTAAATTTTCATTTTAAAACTTTGCCTTAAACCTGAAAATGTGAATATATTTGCTTATTGAAATTAGAATACAGGGTAGTTGTATATGGTGCCGAATTGTAGGCGATGTTCTCTATTCCATATCTCGATCGCAGTAATATCGGATACTGGGACATTTTACATTGCATGCATGGAGGTAATTTTCCTGTTAAAATGACGGACAAAATTAATGCGCATAGAATGTAGAAATTGAATAAAAATAAATTGTAAGTAATGAAATGTCTTTTATTTTTATTATTTACTAAATTACGACAAGCCTTTAATACATTACATTTTCTACGAAACTACTTTCTTTGTCATAACTGTCCAGGAGGTAAGTCGCAGTAAAACCTAGCAGTTTGCTCCCATGCCGTCTGGAGGAAGCAGTTCGATTGAAAATGAACCCAACAAATACTGCATGCTTGATTAACTGATTATCATTTCGATAAAATAGCCCAGTTTCATTTATTCGTGAGTTCTTTTTAAAAGAATCCATCAGTTCTGCAATCGGCCAGCGGTTGATGGCAAAAGTCAATCCGTCGACCCTGTATATCAATATATCGACTCGGAGCACTGGAAAAGATCGATTTTATGTCTAATCAGCATTTCTGAGTGAAAATAAAATGAAAAAAGACAATTTTTTGTACTGACAAGAAAACTTCACGATGTAAGACTAATTAATCAGTATGGTGTGAACAAACCAGGAATTCTTTAGGGGGCGGGGGTCCATTTACATTATTTTGTGTACGCCCTCCAAAAGTAAAAAAGGGTACAATAAACGAGGCTAAGGGGGGGGGTCTATACCCTCTTGACCCCCCCCCCCCTGTCTACGCCACTGCTGTAAGTTACTGTTGAAATCTTGAAGCTTGAATATCCAAAATTGAAAAATTCTGCCCATTAAAAAATAAGGGGCACGGATATGAACGATTATGATGGCAACAAAACCTAATACATACATACATACCTACCTTCATAACATATTTTGAAACAGAAGTCTTGTTATTCTTGTATTAATTGCATGATTTACTCCTTCTCAATCTTACTAAGCTACTTTAACCAATCATGCACAGTTACACCCAACCCAACTTCACTTACTTGATCCGACCCAAAGTCACCTTACCCTACCTAACAAAATGTATGAGCTAATTCTTAACCTCCTACCTTGACCTATCCTAACCTAAAGTGACCTAATTTTATGTGGCCTAACCCCCGACTGGAGGCTGAAATTATTTGTTGATTTTAATTATGAGGGAGTTATTTTTATGTTTGTTAACACCATGATCGGTGACAACGTAATCGTTGGCGTCATGCAGTGTTACTACGATATTTGACACGTTGCGTGCACAAAATTTCCATTTGGCTTCCCAGAACTCAAAAACAAATGAATCTAACTGATGAGCATATCGTAATTAAATTTTAGTCAGACATAACCCATTTTCGCTGGAAAAGATGCACTCAGTCTAAATCAATGCTATTGGCACGAACTGGAACCAATTTGGAATTACGTAAGCGAAAAGGAACACAGCGGATGTATTGCTTCATATTTGCTGTTTAAGTGCGTAGCTTTAAAAAGAGGAAACTTATTATCACTTGCTTTTTTTCTTTTAAATTGGAAATCTTTTGATAATTTAACAAAAGTTCATCAAGAAAAATCAATAATGTTATTCTTTCAAAAAATAAGATATAAACGTAAATTTTGTGACGATGCAGTTGGTCTGTTTGTTCAGACTCCAATTTCAGTACTGCGCACGAACTTGACTGATAAAAACTTCTTGCACTTTCCGTACCTGTGCCGGATCCCAATCTACAACAGCGATGATACGTAACATCTGAGAAAGATTCCTGTCGAAGTTTGGGGAGCACATACAATGGAGCGTCCAGTTGATCCCATCGTGTTGGATCAAACAACTCAAGTAAAGCTTTAACGGCTGACGTCAGGACTTTGCAGCTATTCTTAAAGTTTTTCACATCAAAGGTTTCCAGCGCCCGGATGTACCCTTCTGATCTGTCCTCGGATGTTGAGATACCTTTTGAGCTCGTTTGGTTGCCTACACTCCACTGTAAACAATGAATGCCAAAAAATAAGGTCCATTAAAGTTTAAAACTAATTGGAGATCTTGTAGGCGACAAAACCTTTGCAGAGGTTGGACTGAGCCATTTATTGAAGCCTCTGCTACCTTTGCAAAACAAATTCATGCATCTGTAAAATTCTCAATTTCTGTAAAATCTTGTGATTCAGCAAAATCTTGTCATATACAGCAAAATCTTGTCATATACAGCAAAATCTTGTCATATACAGCAAAAATGTCATAATAAATTCACCACATAATAAGTATGGTATTTCTTAAAATAATGAACAAAAACGTTTTAAACGATTTAACGTTTTAAAAACGATTAAATAATTACAACACAGCACATAAATTAGTATAACGACTAAAATTTGACTCAACATAATGAAGCTTCTTTCTTGATGCAAGTAATGGTTTTTGTAAAAATGATTCTGTTTTTTCACTTGAACCCATGTTTAAAGAAATTGGAAGTTTGGTTTAAATAAATGGAAAGATTAAGGTACAAAAATTAGAAAAAAATTCCACGCACCGTTGCTGCAATGAAAATAGACACAACTATGGAGTGTAGGACCCACAAATCCATTGTGCTTTGGTTTTTTTTTTTTACATATGGAGATGGTTAAATACCATGCCCGACAAACATTATGGGGAAAATAACCCGTTCAAGCGTAAAAACTATGATACTTAGGTGCAAAATTTCCACCATCAAGGCAATTTCTCACTGCACAACATTTTACTAAAATTAGGAATGTCGCAACGCTGTTTAAAGCTTCAGCTGTCTGAATTAAAATTTATCTCGGTACAGATCTATAACACGATTAAATGTGCTTCTATAAAATTAGCCCAAGTCTATATTTTGTGATTGAAATGAATTGAAAGATGAATATCAGTCTGTATACAGAACCTGAGACTGTTACCCAAAAAGGCATAATATTGATTTAGTTGTGCTTTCCGCACTGATGAGATAGGATCGGTTTACTCGAAAAGTTTCTATAATTCCTTTGGAGCAAAGCGTGAGAGCGTTCGCTTGTTTTGTCAAATAATTAAACATGTTCACATTTGAGGACTACGGTGTTTTTTCCAAGTCTCAAGTATCAAAGTCAAGCTTTTTTTCAAACTCCTCGCAAAATAAAAAATGATGTACGGATCATTTTTTGACTGAATATCCACAATATTTACTATAATAGGATAATTCAGTTGTTAGGGGCGATTACTTTTAAAAGACACGTATTATTCATTTTTACAGACCCTTATGATTTAATTAAAGTGCTTAAAATCTACTACTGAAAAATTTTACCTAAAATTAAACATTTTAGAAAGGAAGGCATGACTCTTCAATTTAAAAAGCGGCGTCCGACTATAAAATGTACATTTGCATTTTATTTTTTGAGTATTTAGTTTGTGTTGTCTGTGTCTGTTTGTGTTGTCCAGAGAATGGCAGGAGACAGGTTGCCGAAGAAGGTCCTTGACTGGGTTCCTCCTGGGATAAGACGCAGAGGGCGCCGAATGAAAGGTTGGAGGGAAGGGATTGAAGCGGAAATGTTAAGGTGCTCGATCCCCCAAGATTTGTGGTTTGAAAGAGAGCAGTGGAGTTTAGGAGTCGTAGAGCGCGAGGGAGTGCTGTAAAGCGACTTGTATGTATGTATGTAGTTTGTGTTGTCTTCTTATTCACACACACTGTAACGCATTTGTACATATTTACTTTATAGCCATGGAATTTTATTTTCAGAAATAACATGATATTCATCTTGAACACAAGTGAACATGTTACCCACCCAGAAGTCTATCCGTCAGTTGGTCAAAATTGCCACTCAAACGGCAAGACTACTTTAGTGATATTATATTGTAACTTTGCGTGCAGTATATACCTCTGTCTTTATCGGAGAAGAGTCGACTTTTCATGCAACCATTTTATTCTGCACTTTTTTAAGAGGTGTGTCACATTTAATAGAGAGGCTAAAAGGCTTCTAAATCATTAAAAACCAAAATAAGTAAGTATCTGTAATAAAAGTTTGTGGGAATCCCAACAGGCAGAATCATTATTAGTTTCTATAATTTCCTAATATATATTTAAGATGATAATTTTCACTCACCTACAGTCGACATGAGAGACATTTTTTCTTTGACGGTCGCACACCGACTTACGACCAACGCTTCCCATCGCTTTGTGCAGTCACGTTGATACTTATTTCTTTCTTCTCATCAAAAGTATCTACAAGAAACCTAGCATTAACACCTTTCAAGACGCCAAATCGGCCAGTTTCTACTTTATCGAAGAAGAAGGCCGCAATCACAGTATGCGTTACTGCTCCTCTCACAGGCCGATAAAACATCTGGCCTTCGTCGCCAATTCTTTGGATTGTCCTCAAAGCTTTGCAAACTCGCGGTAGATTCCACGTAAACACAAAAACGGTGCCATCCTTACGCTGGAACAGGACATCAATTCTGGGCATGTATGGGAGGTAGAAGTTGAGACGGTATTGTACATCTGGAAATAGGTCTTTACGTGTATTCGCGAAAGCGAAGAGGGGGGCCATGAGCTGGTCCCAGCGGCGGGCGTCTGTGTCCTTCAGCAGGGCTTGAACGGCGGAGGTCAGTTTGCTGCAGCAGTGGACGGTGTTCGAAGGGTTTGCGGCATCAAATGTTTCCAGAGCGTTGATGTATAAGTCAGGCGCGGACTTGCTGCTTAGTGAATCGTCAGAAGGCGATGGACTCTCGGTGGAAGACTCGGAATGTGGACACAACTGAGGACAGAAAAAAGTATTTTAGAAATGATATTTTGCTATCGAAACTCTAAACGCTTGTTAGATAGAGTGTGAATGGCGAATTATAACTGGTAAAAGTATTTCCGCCATCACCAGGAACTTTTTTTAGCATTAGAAAAAACCCTGAAAAACGGCGTACATCTCCTCACGGTCAGTTTGCCTTCAGTTTTCAGTGTAGGCAACCCGAGCTCCTACGTGGCCGAATAGTGGTATCACTCTCGCATGTCACGCTTGCTCGGGAAGGAAGAAGGAATAATGCACCAAACGTCCAACCACGACGTTTGGCGTGGGAAGGTGACTTCACTTTGTAATTTTATATTCTTATGAGGGTGTCTTGCGCTTATCACTTTGAAATCGCTCTATGGGAAAAATAACCATAAATCACAGGTTTTGTATACCAAGGTACACAAAACCTGATAAAAGAAGCATAACAGACACATAGATAAATAAATACAAATAATAAATTTAAATGCATAATTTAAATTGATTCACTCAAAAGTAGTTTTTTTGTTTTGACAGAGCTGGGCCCCAAATTTGTTCTTTGTTGGGCTTGGTCCTCCGTGCGAGTAATAATCGATCCAACTTCCCATAGAGACTAAGAAATATTCGGACGTCAAGACTTACCACTATTAAAATTAAAGCTGGAACGAACACGAACGTTTGGACCTCGAGGTACATAGTGAATTGTCTAAAAAAAAAAACAAACAAACTATTTATCCGACAAAACGTGATGACAAATGTCTTTATAGATGAGCGGCATTTATGCTGAACTAAAATTTACAGATTAACATCACACACAGTTTTTTCAGGGGCAAATACCTTGAAATAAGTGCCACTTGGCAAAGTAGAGCAACGGTGAGCTCATCGTTTAGTTTATTTGATTCAATTTTTAATTTTGGAAGAAATCTGATAGTCGGTGTCTGGTGTCACGAAGTAGCTTATCATACTTTGAGATTTAATCAGAGTAAACGCACGGGGAATAGATAATTTACTCCACTTATTATTTAGTTGGTTCTAGCTCGGAGTACTTAAAAAATCACTTAAAGCTTGGTTACTCATTAAAATCGTAGTATAGATTTAACTTTATTCAAGCAGCTTTGTTGATTTAAATATGCAAGAATTAGATTGATTCGAATTATTTTTTAAAATAATATTGAAATTTTTATTCATTATTTGATGCTCAAAATTGGCTTAGAAAAAAATCGTGGATTGGTATAGATCTGAGACATGGTTAGTCTTAGTTCATACTTTGCAAGTTGGGCCACAAGAGAGTTGGGTGTTGGTCCTTTCCTTTAAACATCAACGAGTCTTTAAGACCATGTGGTTTTCTCGTGCCATTGTGATCGACAGAATGGTAGTACTAATTTCTAAGCTAATAAGCACCGGGACGGCTGCTACATTCGACTGGCAAACGCGCTGAATGACCTGTATGCAGATTTGCAGATCGCTATCAATGAAAGCCAATAGGCGCACGGCACCAGACCAGACCTCATGTCTACCACCAGCACCACCGCGGCGCTCAGTGAGAGGAAAATTGGCGGAGTAATGAACTAATTTCTTTACTCTTTTCTGTAATTGACTTCGGAATCTCAAAACTGAGTCACTGTTTTAAAGCTTGGATGAATGCTCATCGCGAGTTTAAATCATGGAACTGAATTTGCGGAACTCATCTTTAAATTCTGATTAAAGTTGTAGGTAATATTATGATCGATTCGCATGATTCGATACAATGTAAATAAAAGTGGTGTACTTTTTTGATATATTTACGGATATGTAATTTGTCTCCTTCTAACTATAAGCAACTGCCTTTTTTTAAAATGAACATTGACTTGCCCTATTTGTTTTGATTTGTTATATTTTATGATATTTTATAACCTTAATCCTTAACCATCTCTATCTCTCTATTTATTTTCTTAACTTCCTTGGCAGAAAAATTAATAATCAAGTAGAACCAGAGCCGGGTTTCGGGGGTGGTCATATGGGCCGCGGCCCGTGGAGGCAAATTTAGGGGGCGGCAAATTTTGCAATTTTTTCTAATGTAGGTATAAAAAACAAATCCGATTCAGAAAAAAAAAACAATGCAAACGAGGAAAGGCGACAAAATCTCTCATTTCCTTAGAGTTAAAGTACAGTAATTTTAAATTTTTCGTCTCTCGGTGGTACAAAAGACATTACCTTTCATTACTCAAGTTAAGAGAGAAACCGAACACGCAAGTTGGCCTGGAGCGGCGCGGTACAGAGAGCAATGGTGACTCGAACTTGAGATGAAAAGAAGTCCTCGGCGCGCCGGTCAGCATAAAACACATATCAGCGCCTACAAGACTCCACGAATACTTCGCGCATTGCGTCAAACGCAGTGCGGTCAGCAGCGCAGCGGTTGGCGTGAAACGCATAGCGCCTACAAGACTGCATGAATACTTCACGAATTGCGTCAAACACAGAGCGGTCACCTAGATGTGTTTGTAAAAACAGTATTTTTGATTCTCTTACTCTAATGCTTAAAGCAACTAATTTTTATTTGTCACAAATTTTATTTTTTAGAGAATGTAAAAGAGAAAGGCACATTTTTGAGTGCTTATTAGTCGGTAAAAATGCATAAAAAAACTGTCTCGACTTTTGACTGGTTTAAGACTCTTTTTCAAGATATCTTTACTTTCGTTCTACTGGCTTTGAAGAGTTCGTGGACATGGATTTAAGCGGAGCGATTTTAACTCATGCCCGTCTCCGAGCTCTAAAAATCAATCACTGTAAAAAAAGAAACTTCATAAAAAATACGTGTAAAGGTCTACATTTTGCAACTCGGAACTACAATTTCTGGCTCATCTGCAAAAACACGTGTGTGCATGAGGAAACTAATGATACACACGATGTTTCTAAGCTAATGAGCCAGAAATTTTAGTTCCTAATTGCAAAATGTAATCCATTCGACGGAATTTCAGATTTAAAAAATGTATGACGAATCAAAAGTTCTAGCAATATCTTAATTTCAAAAATCGATCGTAAAGAGTTTTATTCTAATGGATGTACAACACTGTCTCTCCAAGATGGCTATCTTTGTAACGAGAACCTCACTATGACGAGGAAATCAGCCGATCCCTCCGGTTCTCGTTGAAGAGAGAGAGCATTGTACTACACCATTCAACTTTTTAATTAAACTAATGGAACTTTTCACTTCCTGTAAAAATTGTGGATATTACATTTTATTGATTTCATTTCATTTCGTCGTACACTGGAAAAAAAACACATTGGATCTAGAGTCCAGACTCTTGAAAACATTGACAAGAAAAAGGACTATTGATTCAAGCGGATTTAAGCTTAAATCAAAAGGAAATCCGCTCAAATTAAGAGGTTTGGTTCTTGATTGAAGCTTAAATCTGATGGAATCAAGAGTATTTTTTCTTGTCGATGTTTTTAAGAGTCTAGACTCTAGATCCAATGTGTTTTTTTTCCAGTGTAATTTCTTATTATTATTTTATTTGTTTCTTTTATTTTAGCATAGCACAAAAACACCCAGAATCAGCAAATTTAAGGCAGTCTAACCAAGCTAAGCTCGCAGATTGCGCGTAAGTGTAACTTTTTCGTGAAGCTCGCTGATGAGGTGACCCCGCTTTTTGCGAGGAGCACGGACCCTACGAGCGGCGCGCTGCAGGAGCCAGCTGGTGGATCCCGATGACGTCAGCGGTGGCGCCAGCGGGTGTCGCGGTTCCGTTCATAACTCCAGAACTGGAGTGAAACTCCTGACCGCTTCCACTCCGCTCCGCCCGTCCTCCAGACGCTCCATTCAGTCAACTCCACGCTCACGTCCGCGACTGACGCCCCACGCTCACGCGAGCCCAGTCTACGCTTTCGCAACCTCAGCCTTCATTCATAAACTCATTCACAA